TGACACAGTAATATCTCATAGCATAGTTGCATTGAAATAAATTTCCATCAGTTTGACATGACTGTCTCCCTGGACCTGTACTGACACTTAAAACAAACGGAGAATTACTGTTGCTATTTTGCAGAGAAAAAAAATGCTGCGCTCAAAAAACAATTTTGTTTTCTCAATACAATGATACATTTTAATAATTGCTTTCAATGTAATATGTATTTCTTTTTTCTCTTTTTTCCCTTTTTTCCCTTATTACAATAAAACTAAAAAAAAAGCCATAAAACACAAGTAGAATTTCATCTCTGCTTATCTGAAAAGGCTTCATATATTGAAATGTATCTAATTTTAAAGAAAATAAAAATACATTAAAAATGCACACTTAGTTATAACTGAGATATAAAACTACTAGGAAAGACTATATTAAGAACTATATCAAAACTTTGGTGTTCCATTTTCCTGTTTTAACATGATGACTACATTTCTTTTACTTTCATAATCCAAGCTAAAACCAAGGTCATGAAACATGGATTAAGAGAAGATAATTGGAGTAAAAAGATTATTGGAGCATTAAGATTATTTTAATATCTTGATGTTTGTTTTTAATATTCTTTTCATTAGTAACTCTGAGATAAAAATTGGCAACTAACAAAATGTGTCAATGGCTCTGAGTTTGAAAGTACTGTCTGAACATAAGGCTCAGGCTATCAACAAGAACGAGGTGACATTAAAAAATAGAAATAAACTGACATTTAATAGTGCAAAATAAAAACTATATCTCTGTAAAGGTCAACGAGGAGGTGTTATAAGCCTTAAGCTCATCACTGAATATAAAATCTGCCTATGTGATGTGATCATGAAAAAAAACCCCAGGGCTGTATCAGGGCATCTATTTCAAATACAAAAAAAATATTAATACCATTATACAGGATACAGGAATACAGGACTATATTTTTGTTGCTAATATTCAGAGAGATTAATTCTAACTGGAAGACCATCATTACCAGGAATAATTCCAGGAGGGAGATGAAGTGTCTATCATAAAACAAGAGCAAAACAATGGGGACCTTCTAAGTGCTTGCAGAGAATATATTTTTCTCATCAAGATTCAAAGAGAAAGAAATTATCTCTTTTCAGAGAGAAGAAACATTTCACTTATAGGACAATGATAACACAAGAACAAAGATGTGTTTGCTGGCTATAAACATGGTTAGGCTGCTCCAAGAAACTGTCTACCTAACTAAATTTCTGATCTTACAAACAAAAAGAAAGAGTTTTCTTTCTGTGAAGAAGTTTTAAGACCAGATGATAATGTGGTTTATATACCAAAATACATCACAGATGTGTGGTGTTACTGTGTGACTTTTCCAACCTGTGAGACAACGAGCCAGGAGGAAGGTCATGTGGGTCAGTGCAGTGATGTCAGTGCTGCAGTGTATGATCCAGAGCTGTGAGGACCTGTGTTTCCTGGAGGTTAGAGACACAATCCTGGATCCTGAGTGTCACTGGGCTCCTCAACAATGTGTTTTTTGTGGCTACCTCCTCTATTCTTAAATGGTTTTAGGTATATATTAGAGTACAGAATATCTTGCCAAGGATTCTTGCTTTCCCAAATTTTACTGGTTTATTATGATTTGTTGCAGCCATTGCTATGCTCCCAATTTTCCTGTTCATGTAACTTCTGGACATGTGGATGTCCAGCAGACTGGGTGTGTTCATTGTCTATATAGTTCCTTAAGCACACCAAAATTACTCTGTTCTTTGCAACAGTTTTGTACCATATTTCATCTACTTCTGTTACAGCAAAAAGTCAAGGGTCATCAGATCATGCTGAAAGATATCCTAACTTCAAGTAACTCATGCTAACTGCTACAGCAGCAGGGCCAGGAAACACAGCTGGGATTAGCCTTGAGACTAAAGTTATTATTATATGATTTCTCTCAGAGATCCTCTGCTCACCAGAAGAGTGACTGGGCAAAGGTCTCTTAACATTACTAAGAACCTCTTCTCCCAAGTCCTTAATGTGGACCTGCTTTTCACCGGTCTTTACCAGTTTTAGTGGGAGTACCCATGGACTGTCACATAAACCAGAATCAATCTCAATTTTTTCTAGTGTTTGTCGGGTGCCATCAAAAGAGAATAAAATGGGAAATTATGAAAAAGCAATTGAAAACTGTGAAGAGTATTTAATGGATAATGGATGATAGCAATTATTCTCTTTGTTTATGAGCACAGCCAGTTTGGTTGAGGTCAATGCTTGTGTTATTTCCTGTTGCTTATGCATTTATAAGTGAAAAATTCAGAAGAATCTCCCTTTGACACCAGCTGACATACATGCTTTAATGCAAAGTGATGTGAAGTGCCTCAACAATACCAGGTGACTTAGTCATGGTCCACATTTTATGCCTGTCTGCTTCTATTCATCAGAAACATGAGGCTGTATTTTAAGAGATAGTCCAAGAGTACTTTTTCAATAATATAAATTTAAACTTAAATAGGCAGGTTAAGGGGAGGTTAAGGTTAGCTGATGAAACACAGACGTCTTTTTCACAAGTAATACACACACTGGAATGCATCTACAACTTACAAAGACTAGTTTAAGCAGTCAAACCAAGAGGCATATTTAAATTAAAACCTAAACAATTCAGAGCTTTAAAACATTAGTCAAGTCTCCTTAAACCATGCTGCTGGAACTGGTTGAAGTAGCCTCAGAACTTTAGAATTAAGTGAGCTGACACTTCAGGATAACATTGATTTAACACATATTGGCCCAGGTGAACTAATATTGAACATAAGAGGATGACAGCTTATATGACATAAAAATGACAGAAAGCTCACAGAAAATAGCTTTTACAAAAGGTAAGTCTAAGTTGTTTCTCTAATTTTGGCATGCATTACAATCACTCTTCTGCAAAGTTTTAGTTACAGTATCTGCAACTTATCATTCCAAGGACCATGTCATTACAAAATAGATGGTTCATAGAACAGGAACAGAAAATATCATGCTGGTTAGCTCTGGATATTATTTTGTAGCTTAAGAAGATCAATACATTTGTGAGAATTTTTGACAGATGAAGGTGTCATTATTATAAGAGTATAATCAATATAATTAAATTATTTATAGTCTATATAATTATGATTTCCTTATTTATGCTTCCCAACAAAAATGATAGTAGAAGCTCCAAGCAGGAAGACTTTTCAGGATTATTGACTTTGGCTATCCTTGAGATCAGAGGATTTTGGAAAAGGGAGTGTCTGGTAATGGCAAAAAATGTTGTAAGAATGTAGAGTAGATTGTCAAAAGGAAAAGAAGCATATTAAATTTTAAGTCTTGAAATAAGCACATTTTCTTTTTTGTGAAAAATAACCATTGAAATAAATAAACATGCTGAATGCCACGCTAAAAGATATATTGAGACCAAGGTAAAGACCTTCTTGTCAAAATATGTCTCAATTTTTTTGACATAGGGTTCTATTTCCAACAATTTTACAAATTATTAGAGAGAGTATTAAGCACAAAAATTCCAGAGCAACCAACAGCAAAAAGCAAGTTTTACTCCCCTGAGTACATGCTCTGGTCAGCTTTACATCCTGGTGTTCCAGTTTACCCACTTTCAATAAAAATCCACATCAAAATTAAACCTCACTCTTCTTGTTCTTATTTATCTTTCTGCTTTGTTCTTCAAATGAGGAGTTGGGTGGTCATAATTGTCCCTTTGATCTTTACATCTCTGAAAAGAATAGGGCAACTTCAGCTGGACCACAGCAAAATTCTTTGTAATGGAGGATAAAAAGACTTACAAGTTTGACAACAAGCATAGCCCAAAGCAATGTATTTTTGGTACTTCAGTATAAGTACATATACTTTTAGATTCTCTAATTCTATGGAAGAATGCTTTTAAAATAATTTTGCAGAGATGAATAGCAGGTCTGAAGCAGGAAATCATATTTTATAAGGCCCTGTCATGCATAGAGGGGTGTTTTGATCCCCCTGACACATATTACTGTAAGAATGCGTCAGCTTGTCATCAATGCAGCTTTAAGTCAAACCTTTAGAGTTCAGGGAGGGTCTACAAACCCAATACCTTTTAAATATGGCTCTATGTGCATATCTATACAAGTACACCAAGGACTGAACGCAGTATAGAACTGTGAAAAATATTGGTTCCACTTCTCTGATCAAATATTTATGAAAGGGATGCTATGCAACTATTTATTGTCTGACACACTGTTTGCATATACCTTAATACTCTGTAGGTATTCTGATAGAGGAAGAAGCATATCTACCTATTCAAATATTTGCTCTTAATAAAACTATTATGTATGGAGACTGGTGTTTTACAGGGGGGTTATTTTTAATAAATTGTCTAAAATAGAGAGTGGATTACTGAATGAGCTTGCAATCAGTGCTTTTTGACCTGAATTATGCTTACAAATCAACCAACAGGAAGGTGAGGAGGTAGGCTAAGGGCATTAATTGATTACAGTGTCACAGTAAGCAGGTTAGCTCACACTGAAGTGGGTTTAGTATGTTGTTTTAAATGGGAAAGGAGATAGAAACAAACAAGCAAAGATCAAAGCCAACCTGCTATAAGATATTCTCTTGATACTAACTTGTTTAAAATGGGATGGCCTTAAGGAAAATTTTAATTTTTTTACCCACATCTAGTCCCTGATGAGAACAAAATTCTTTTCTTTGTGGTTCAAGATGAGGTTATTCTTTTGGTCTTTTGCACAACAAAGGTCAGATGATCTCAAAAGTAATAAAGTAGTAACAAAAATAACCAGACACACGTGATCTTACAGCTAATCCTTACCATCTATTGTAATAAGATTATGTATAAATAAACCATCTTGATTTCATAAAGGTTTTTTATTAGGGTTTATTTATTTATTAGCTTTGCCCATATTGTAATAGCATTATCAACTCACTAGTTAATAACAGATTTTGAAGTGAAAGGGGGGAAAAACCTACTAAATTTTAATATTTTTTTTTTCTGCTCATGTTTTAGTGACCACAGAGTTCAAAGGATGGAGACAGAGCAAAAGGAAAACAACAAACTGCTAAAGTCAACAGGGAGACAGAAAACACATGAAGTCACAACTCTAGTTCACACCATTCTGTCTGCAAGTGTCACTTGTTGCAGGTGTGGCACGTAGAAGATGAGGTACAATAACCACCACAGAAAATAAGGTGATTAGTTATCCAAAGGCTAGATTGTTCTTCTACATTCTCTTGTTAAACCTGATGTTGACCTCAGTTGTCCTACATTAATGGAAAAAGCCTAGTGTCAGAGAGCTTGGCAAACTCATTCTTTACTATCATTCTTAGCATACCTCCATGCTATAATTCAATTATGCAAATGGATAATTATGCACTAATACTATACATGTATAATAATGGCATTCAAATTGTATAATTAATAATTAAGAGATTGCAATATATTTAATGAAGGTCACATTTTCAACTATTAATTCAATGTGAAATGTTGATTTGCAGATTAAAGGGTGTAGAATCCCTTCTCAAAGCCCAGTAGCTCTCACATACTCTAATTCTTACTCCTTTCAAACATCAAATCCTCTTATGTGTCCCTTTCTCTAATGGCCAGAAAGACATCCTGCCTACATTGGTTATTCTTACTACCATTATTTTTTCTGAATTTAGTAGTTGAAATTACAAGCACATTTCTTCAACAGTTTTTCTTAGGAGTTTTCTATCTAGTTGAGTTACCATGTTGAACTTTCTTCATAGGCACATAAAGACAACATCCTATAAATTAGGACCTTGGTAATAGCAATGGGTACCATGCTACAAGATAATGAACCTGCTAATACATAGCTTTCCAAAATACTCAACAACTTTTACATCATGCAGTTTCTGGTAAAGAATTCCTTACATTGGTTTCTTCTACAAAACACAAAGGTTTTTTTAAACAAACATACCTACAAAGTAGATTTAAGTGAACTGTTTTGATGACTGCTTTTACCATGTCCCCTTCTACCCGCATGAAGTCACGAATGTATACCAAGAGAATATATCATCTTAATTAGATCATTTATGCAAGAAATAACAACTTTTCACATCAGCTGTGATCCTCAGTGTGATTTCTATAATACAGACTTCAGTTGCCAAAGCATCAGCACCTGTTGTTACTCAAAACACAAGCTGTACCAGAGACTCTGCACAGGATCAGCAAACACAATCTACAATCTACAAATTACCTTTGCTACTTAGTACAGCACAGCAGCTAGAGGACAGGCATGATGCTCTGGAACATAACAAATGGTATTAGGTGCCTTTATTTAGGCAAATTAATTGACACTTCTCTTCTATCACTGCACAGACTAAACTTCTGAAACCAAGATGCACTGTTTAAGCTTGAAAGCTGCCATATAAGAATGAATAGTACACTAGAATTTTTGTTCTAAGCAACACTTGATTTTATTCTTTTTGTGTCCCCATGCAAACATAGCATTTGACTATGACTCTTCAATTCTACTTTAATAAGTAATTCAGTTTTATTTTTTAAACATGCAGTGTCATCACAGGCCCCCAGAAAGTAATAATTAGCATTGACTCCATGATTCATGGAAGGCTGATCAATCACTTTGTTATATTAATTAAGAAACCCATCGCCCTTACAGACAGTCACAATACAGGGGGACCCGAATGGTCCTTCAATCCAAACACCATCACCATTGGCCAATCAAAAAATCACCCTTTGGTAAACAAATCTCCATAACACATTCCACATGTTCACAACAACAGGTGCAGCAAGTGAAGATAAGAATTGTTTACCATTCTTTTCTCTGATCTTCTCACAGCCTTTCCCAGGATGATGCCTGGGAAAGTTGTGTGTTGCTCTGTGTAGCCAGAGAACTGCTGCCACAATGCTGATATTATTGTTAGTTATTATTCATATAATGAATTCCATGTCTTTCCATGCTGTTGTATCCTGTTTTCCTTTTATTATGAAGTTCAGAAATTAAATCATTCTGAAGCATCTGAATAGATGGAATAAAACTTCACTACCAACATTAAATATTCTAGAAATGTATGGAGGATTTACCATTGAGTCAGAAAAACAACCCAAATTTATTTTAGTCATAGGCTTAAGATGAACTCCTTTTGTCATAAAAGAAAGCCAACATGGATATGCATCTACAGTCATTATTTAATTGAAATAGCTCAGTTGTGAATATGTCTGCTGATACAAGCTGAAGCTATTGAAAAGACAGGAAAATGTAATGTGTTTATAGCTTACACTACACTCTCTAAACTTTGGTAAGCAATCAAAATAAAGCAGACAGCCATTATCTAGGTAGCATCAACTTACCCATTAGGAAGATGAATAAATATTTTGCCACAATTAAGACTAGTAAGAAAATTTATGGTAAGTCATCAGCCTGACATATAACAACTGACATATGGTAAACTACTCAATAATCAAAATTCAGCAAGTAGCTGAAATTTTAATGCAACAGGATTTTATGGACGTTAAGAAAGCAGATATAAACATATGCAATTTTGATCATCTTAATAAGACTGAAAGCCCAAAAAATCTAATTGAGAATATGTTCTATATACAAGATCAAGACACTTAGATAACAGACAAAGTATAAAATAATGTTGCTCAATGCCAACCAAAGCACCAAGGCACCAAAAGCACTTTAAACAGTATTAGGATCAGTGAAAGCAGAGTAATATTTTCACTGCAATTTCTTTGTGGAATATTTATGGCATGAAGATCCTACACAAAATAAAAAATGCAAGTGACAAGGAAAAGTATTTTATTGCATTTAAAATATGCTAAGAAAACAATTGCTAACTGTTTTTGTTAAACAAGGGCATTTCATCCAGATTTATACTTCTTTTGGCAGTATGAATATACACTAAATCGTGTTTCTATACGTAGGACATGAGTACATTTCATTAAGATTTTGAGTGTTACTTTTTCAAAGTAAATAAAACCATGACGAAGCATGAAAAGAAAGTAAAAAGGTGAGGACAGGAAAAAAATATTTGATCTTGTTTAATCTAATAATGTAGCATAAATTCAGCCCTCCTACAAATATTCAAATTATGTAATAGACTATTAATAAGAATCATTGGAGAAGATTTGTAGGTATGGAGACAAAAACTTTCAGCAGGATGAAAATGCTGCTTGAAAATATGAACAGACCACAGGAATAAGAAAAAAAAAAACAAAACTATTCCTCTAAATATGAATGTTCTCTGATTCCTTGTGTCTTTGCAGAAAGCATTTAAAAATAAGTAGGTGGCTGGCCTGCAGCACAATCTGTAGGATGGCTTACTGTGATCCAAAGCAGAAAGTTATTTTTTAAAATAGAACACCAATGCACTACATTTTTCAAAGAAATTCCAGAAATTTCTCAGAGTTGTAGTTTATCATTGGAACAGCAAACGCTTCCCAGAGAAAATATTTCAGTGCAAAACAGAACATGCTTAAGAAGGGGAAGGTTAGGAAGACAAGAGTGCCGTAGAAGTTTGGACTTCATCTCAATATCTCACAGAAAATCTTTAACTTTTGTATTTATTTGAGTGGGTCAAATATTCTTCTAGGAAAGAAATTTTTCTGCCATTTAGTAGGCCACGGTCCTGTGAGATTCATGTGCTTGCCTTATTTATATTAGTGTAGCATCCCATGAACTCTCTCCCCACAGCCAATTCCCAAGGGCATTGCCTTGGAAAGACTTACCATAGAAAAAAGAAAAGACAAGACTCACCCATGGACCTCTGTCTCACTGATCCCTATATTTCACAACTTCTCCTGGTTTCTCCTTTCCCTGTTTCCTCACTAGCTGGGTGCTCCTGGTGGTTGCCCCCTCTCCCCTGGACACAAATCCCCTTTGCCCCGCCTTTAGTTCTGCCCCCATCCATTCCCCTTCTTAAACTGTCTGCAACGCCTGGTTGCTCTCTTTTGCCTGGGTTTCCTTCATCCCCCACATGTAATAAACCTTGCTAGAATGAAATCCTGCGAAGGGCCTTCTGCCTCTCTCGCTGAGCCAGCTGTGCTGAGTGTTGCGTGTGGATCTGACTGCGTTGCCTGAATGTTAACCAAATCTGCTTTCCTACAGGAGAGGTTTGCTGGGAACAGAAAATAAGCAGCAGCACCCACAATCCAACTCTCCATTTTTAATTGGTGCCCAATGTGAGTGCCCTCATAAATATCCAGTGTTTATATTATCTAAACAGAATTTCTAGTGTACTCATTTATCTGATCCTTTTCATATTATGGCTGTGCACCTCCTGAGTTTATTGTATCATTTAAAAACCTCCACAGGAAAAAAATATTTTTATATTGAAACATACCCAACTAAATAAATGTCTTGTAATCAGACACAGTTTCCACTGAGATATACTGCATCAATTCCTGCTCTTGTTCAACTACACATAATTAGCGATCAGAAAAAAATATTCATCATCTTGATTGCAAGAATTTACTCTTTTTCTAATAATGTGACTGCAAAATTATGGATAAAGTGATCTATTTCAGAGACTGTGAAAATTTTCTTATTACATCCTTTTCTCTGATCATTTATTGAGATGCCTCTCACAAATTTAGTCAAAGTTAGCTACATGTTGACTTTTGAATTTCTATTTTCATTAATTCTGGTTTTTAGTGTAAGTGTATTAAAAGGAAGCAATTTTTTAAAAAATCATCTCCATTACAGATGATAGCACACAATCTTAAAGTTAAATTACAAGTTCAGGTGAAATGCAAGGAAATCTTAACTAGATAATAAAAAAATCTTCTTGCTAAAAACACAGTTATGTTCCAAGGTGGTCCTATTAGTCAGTGGTAGACTTAGCCAGGTGTTCGAAGAATGCATTTTGAGAAACAGGTTCTGCTTTTCCAGATGAGTAGATGGAATCTTCTTATTCTTGTGATGTGAGTTGCTGGATTTTTAAAAATACTTTTGCTTATTAGTTTTTTTCTTATAAGAAACTGTAACTACTCCACACTTTGAATCAGGGGTTAAATTATTTCTGTATTCATCAACTCAAGCAAATCTGACCAAGTTAGGAGCCTTTAAAATTTCTGTGTTGCACACCTTCTATTCAAATATTTAACAGTGAGATAGGGTTACCATGTTCATCTTAACTCCTAATTTCATATAAATATTGCATAAAATTTGTTTTTTGTTATAAATCATAAATTGCCTCATAAAGTACACACTTTATGAACCATAGTGTCATGCTTTAATCACAATGATGTTTCCCTGGATTACATTGTCTAAACCATGCAAGGTTCAGGAATTTTTTCTATAAAAGTTCAGGTTTATTAAGATTTGCAGTTTTTGCTTTGCAATTTTAACAATATATTAAGAATACAGGACACATAGCAGCTGCCAATTCCATCAATTGATATGTCCTATTGTGTTTTTCTTCTATTTTGTGAACTTTGCAAGAGCATTTTGAAAGTCACTAGCAATTTTTTAAAAATCCATTTTACAGGAATGCAGCATATTTTACAGCAATTGCTTTTTAATCAGAAGAAAAATATTGCACACTTTGTAGTGTTGTCAAACTGTTGAAATCTTTATATCAAAATTACAAAAATCCCTAGTAAAGAACTGGTAACAACGCTAAAATTTCTATTGCTTCCAGAATGATTCTCAAATGCTTACTTTATGAGCACTTATATATTTCAAAATAGATATTCCTAATTTATAATAGACTGCTTCAAAATTTTACACTGCCCTTAGATTATTGGTTTTTTTCATTGAATTTTAAGTTAAAAAAGTCAAAGCTGCTTAACTATTTTAAAAACAACTGGATATTAATAATTGTAATATCACTATGCAGGTAAAACTGTCTTTAAGATCAGCCTCATGTCTGTTCATGAAAGGTTTACCAGGTTCTAACCTTGAACAGACAAAAGAAAATCTAGTTCAAACCAGTAACTTATTGGGGTTTTGCGAAACATCTTACCCAACAAGACTGCTCTTGAGTCACTCTTTGGTTACTGGTACTATTAGCTTTACAACCATAAAAATATTTTATTTCAGAAAATGTTTACATCTTGAAATATGCATTCTTAAGTATTTTCCAAAATATTTGTAGCAGCAAGGAACTTATTATGCAGAAATCAGTTCTACAAAATATCTTTCTCTTCAATGTGCTTCAATCACAATTTCAGAACTGGTTGAATTTCTAGAAGTAATGAATATAAATATTTATCTTTTGCAAAGATAATTTCATAAGTAGAATATTGTTGTTTCTCTGACAAATTTTATAGATATCCATAGTTTCTAGGGATTTTTTTCATGTGTGTTAAGGTTTTTGTCTTATTTTTAGGTAGAATGTAGCTATTTTTATTTTCCTGTCCACCTTCTGTGACCGAATCCCAAGCCCTCATATAATATAGATTTTCATAAATTCAACTATTAACTGAACAGATTTGTTTACAGGAATGAGAAAACAACCTGTTTGTTTTAGTTTCTCTTGTGAACTGAGACATGGCATATTTTTGCCCATTTGTCTGTTTTTGTAGAGAAGCACAACAGACATATTTCAGCTTAAAGGTCTGCTTGCTCTACTGGCAGCCTTTATGTTTTGTATGTATTCAGTCTTACAAAAATCTGCCCAATAAATCATATGCTTACAATAGAAGAAAATAGAAATACTTCTCCATTCTTTATTCTATTCTTCTATCTGTAACATGCTA